AATGCTAACCACTGAGCTACCACGTCATATGTTGTGGATTGTTTCAGCTGCTTTGTTCCATTGCTGATTGTCAGAAAAACCCATCTGGTTCACTAATGTCCTTTAGGAAAGGAAACTGCCATCCTTACCTGGTCTGGCCTACATATGACTCCAGACCCACAGCAATATGGTTGACTCATAACTGCCCTCTGGGCAATTAGGGCTGAGCCTAGTCAGCGATGCCCTTATCCCGTGAATGAATAAAGGAAAAAAATGCTGTCAAATTTATGCAACAATTAGCATGGTGGAGGTATGCAGCCTACTCATTGTCCTCTTGTTTTGGGTGGGATAGTTTTTTGCACTTTTCCTATTATTTTTCTAAACATTGAAGCAAGATTCTGAATTTATAGAAAACCTGGATATCCTAAAGTGTTTCATGGCCTATTATTTTGTTTGTTCCTATGATTATGAGCATTGCTGTCAAAGCCAGCATTTATTACCTATATCAGATGCCTTTGAAAAGGTGGTCTTGAATTGGCTCCTTGAACATCTGCAGACCACCTTGTACAGGTGCACCCACAGTACCGTTAGGATCCAAGTTCCAGATTCTTGTCCCAGTAATAGTACAGAAACAGCAGTATAGTTCTATGTCATTGTGGTGTGTGCTTGGAGGTAAATTTGCCAATACAGGAATTCCCATCTTTCTGTATTTCCTTCTGAAGTGCAGTAAGTATTGTTGTATGTACAAATATGGCACCCAATCTGTATAAAGTGAGATCGCATAAACAACTAAGGGGAAGAATACTTGATAGAGATGTTGATGGCTCTGCTTGAGAGATGAATGTTATCAGGACACTGGGAGAGCTTCCTACTCTTCATGTTGATATTTTCTAATCAACCGCTTTAGAGATCTTATTACATACGTCTGGAGCAGGTGGGATTTGAACACGGGCCTCCTGGTTCAGGGATAGGGTAGTATAACTGAACCACAACACTCCTTACCAGTTCTTATCGCCATTTTCTAATCAACCTGTTCAGAGATGTTATTACGCACTTCTGGAGCAGGTGTGATATGAACACAGGCACTTGGCTCAGAGGTAAGAACATTACGCTGTGCCACAAGTGTCCTGTTAATCACCATGTTCTGAGATGTCATTATACACCTCTGGAGCAGTTGGGACTTAAACCCAGGGGTAGGGACACTATCACTGTGCCACAAGAGGGCCCTAAATGTGAATCAGTAAAGTTTCAGTTGGAAGCCAGCAGGTTTGGTCAATAAGATAATTGAAGCAATGACCTTGCCGTTATTAGCACCACACTCTGACTATCTCAGATAACTGACTAGTGGGCCCTACTCTTCTTGTAGTTCCATAGGATTTATTGTATATACCCGAATAGCCAGACAGTTATAAGATTTTTTTTAGGCTGAATAAATTATTAGAAGTTATAAATGAACCATTAAGCTATGTAAAGATGTGCTGCGCGAAATTTAATGTCCTTTTTAGTTTGATAGAAGTACTTCTGTGTTGGGCTTTTCACATATGTTGGCTTGTTTTAAATCACTCCTGTCTCCTGGTCCAAGCTCACATTTGCATTAAACTACTTACTGAGTTATTTGACAAAGTGACAGGTCCAATCAAGCAGCTCTAGTTCATGGGTTTTTAATTGTGTAGGACAACTGCCAGCTGCCATAGATGCCTTTGGAAGTTCTATCTTAAAAGTATGCTGTAACGAATGAAAAGACTAATGGATTGGGTTCATGTATAATTTCATTTTGAGCAACTACCTAATGAACTCTTTAAAGATTCGTAGTTTTGAAAGCCTAGTGTTCTGTAACACTGCATTTGGGAATTCAAGACTATTGCATTCCTTTGTTGCGAGGGAAAGGGATATTTGGACCCAACTTCTGCAGACTTGGTTTAATCTTCACTTAAAGTTGTTTGTTACGTCACTTTTGTACAGCAACAATTTGTTGTTCAGAAGCAAAACTGATCTTAACTTTGAGAAGGAGAGAAATTGTTTGGAGATCCTGATTGTGGTGTGGGTGAGAAAAACATGCAAAGCAGAGGTGCCGCAACAAAACCCAATGTGAGGTTGCAATAACGTGTCAAGTTTACGTGGGTGATTTTCTAAATGAATATTTCCTTTAGAAGTATCCAATGGATGATGTTGACTGGAGTTATGCACAGGTTTAAGATTTTTGTTGTATTGCAGTTTATCTAATTAAATGTAATTCAAACTCTTGAAAATGCTAAAATGTGGAACTTGCTATCTTGTGCAGACAAATTAAGGAAAATAGCTTTGATATTTTTTGTGTCTCAGAAGTTGGGAAAAACTATTCAGTCTACTAATGGTTTTCATGTATATTTAACTTTATAATTGGTCTTATTTTCATTTTTATGGAAATTAGCAAGGACAGTGGTATTAATGGATTAAGTTTGCAATCTGACCTTTTAATACTTTAGGTCCTATAATGCCTCTGCTTTGAGAATCTGGAATTCTCACTGATATTTACTTGAGAGTTTGACTTTTTCGATTTTATTGACAGTGAGACTTTGACCTTCTCTATCACAAGATTTACCTGATGTTTGTAGGGTTTGATTGAAATAATATGCACTTACCAGCGCTTAATGTCACAAAGAGCACGGCTAAAATTGTGACATACAGTTCTATTTCACCTTTGCCTAAAAAAACTAGTTTTTAGACTATTTTGGTGATGCCCTATTACACTTAATGCTTTTAATTTAGAAGGCCCTGTTGTTGTAAGCCTGCATAGAATACAAGCAGGGTTGCAGTTTGTACAGAATAAAAGTGAACACAAAGTACATGAAAGAAAATAACTTGACTTAGTCGTAGACATCTCTCAACCCGTTGTAGATTTAAAATCTGTGGCCTCTTCAATGGCAGAACTGCAGTTTTAATACTGTACGCTGCAAGTGATCTGAGGTAGCAGGACTGTTAACTGCCGGTTTCTCTATTTAGGTCTTTTGGAACATTGTGGGAGGTTTTAGGATTTATTCTGTTTCTGAAGCTGATGTTATACTCTGATAATCAACATGAAGGTTTCTGTGATTAACTCTTAAAGTGCCTTGTTTTGGTTTGCACAAAATAAAACCTTTCAGATTCACTGGGGCAGTGCACTGGAAATAAAGCCAGACTTGGGGTCATCACAAATGTGAAAAGATCTAGTTAAATTATCCAAAGTTCCCAATTTACTTGATTGATAAACTTTGTTAAAATACAACACTCACCAGGTTTCTGGACTTAACAGGAGAATAACTGTTTCTTACCAACAAGTTGTCATCAACCAGTGGCAGCTAGGAAATATGAATTACTAACTTATAACTCTACAACTTTATCTCATCTTAGATTTCTCCCTTTATAAATACGCACGCGCATGCACACACAAAACACGGATACTAAGTGTGGGAAGCCATTCGGTATGACCAGTCTGGTGCACTGGAACTGATGCGTTGTTTCTTTCGGTTTCTTCCAATTCCTTTTAGCTTTTTACTATTGACACAAGGTTGATGGCAAACCAATGCTCTCTTTCATTCACTGATTGATTGAGAATTTGTCCCTTCACTGCCTTTAAAGGCATTTTATTCTTCCTTCAAAAGGGGGAAGATGAAAGTGGAAGGCAGCTAGCGTTTTTGGAGATAGTAGGAACTGCAGGTGCTGGAGAATCTGAGATAACAAGGTATAGAGCTGGATGAACATAGCAGGGCAAGCAGCATCAGAGGAGCAGGAAAGCTGATGTTTCGGGCCTAGACCCTTCTTCAGAAAGGGT